TTTGACAAATGTTACAATTCATCCAACAGTTATATTTCAGTTAAGTTGTAAATATCTCATTAAGTATATTTAGATTAAAGCCTTTACATATTTTCCTAAAAGAAAAAAGGATGGAATAAATAAAAGTGGATGGCAATATGATTTTAGAATTCATATTTATTATTGGAAATTCTTTTTTTCGGTGGATAATAAAAGCTTTTTTTTTTCAAGAATAATTTTTTATTTCGAGAATTTATCAGTTTTTCGTAGATCTTGCGCCACTTGATTGCAATTTGTACGCTGCATAATAAAAAATGTATACATTTTCTTACATATCCAATACTGTGTCCATTAAAGTATATCAATATTTGACTAGTTAACAGTACGTCACAGCCTTAATCCACTATTAGCTATGCACTGTGCATAGTAATATAATGCTTATTCGTGCTAAAAAAACGACCGGACATACAAGTTATAAAAATATTACGTATTATCATTTTTATGCTCTAAAATCTTACAATAAATTATCCTAAAAATGGATACTGTAATTAAATTTTTAATATTTGCCATAATGTTTGGAATAATCAGATTGTGAGGGCTTAGAAGCACATTCCGTACTTTGATAAACAACAACTTTTCGAGATGTATCTCATTATATTTTTCATCTGATGAGCACACACGCACGGTAGTACATACAAATTCATACAGTCTTTACAATCATAGGTATGTTCTTTTTTTTTTATAACTACATCATAAAAAAATTTATAAACTTTTACGAATGATGTTCGCAAATATTTTGCAAAATTTGTTTTGTGCCAATTTTCGAAAGAATCGTCAAAAATAAAAACTAATAATTAATCATATTTTTTTAACACCTTACTAGATCTTTATAGGATTGTATTTATAACTGTATATGTTCATGAAAGAAAGAACATGTATTGTGTTAAGTCAGATTGAACAAAATCTGAATATAGTAGAGTTTTGTTACTTGATTTCTTTCACATAAGCTTCCAGTTCTGCATCCAATTCTTCGGCCGTAGGTGTTTTTGTCGCTTGTCGAGTACCTCCTCTACCTCCACGTCGACCACTTCCACGACCTTCAATCCCACAAAATTATAATTATATATCAGAACTAACAAAAAATCGTCAAAATACATTTAATAATATAACAATCACAACTTGTGAAACAAAATATAATAACTATGCAGGATTTGACTTTGTTATTGCATAAATTAATTATATAATTATCAATAAACATTGATTTGTATTGATTACCTCTAATAGATCCTGTGCCACGATTTCCTCTAAAACGTGTTTGAGGTCTTTGTGTATAATTAACACCGCTAAGTCTCGGGCCGCGAACAGAAGTGACTGGTAGTTCAGAAGTAGCTACTTGTATATTCATTTCACGACCTATTCACATACATATTTACATATACATTGTATATTGAAGGAACAATACAAATACAAAATATTTATAAATCTATATTATATAATTTACAACAGCATATGATAGAAATTCTGCGATAACTGGATTAATAGATAATATTGATATTTAAATATAAACAAAATTCCATAATCAAAAAAGTACATTTACAAATATAACTGTACAAATTTAGATACATACCATCTAACGGTACTCCATGATATTGCTTCATTGCTTTGATAGCATCTGCCCGTCTTTCAAATATAACATCAGCAGAACCTAAAGATCGACCTGATCTATCATAATGTACCGCTGCTGATTTTAAAGGTCCAAATTCACTGAATAATTCCTAAAAGATAGCAATTCAATTTAGTTTTTTGAAATATACAATTTTTCTGTATAGAAAAGTACATTAAGACTAAATCTGCATTTATATGAAAGTTAATACATTAAGAGTCATGTAATCTATGAAATGTAATTTTATTTCTTTTTATGAAAATTTGTGTTTATACACCAATCATATATTTTCATATTTAATACAATTTGATCATTTGTCATAAATTAAATGTTTTGTTTTATTTATAACAGTCTGATTTCATGATTTTGATGTAGTCAAGATAAAGCAATTCTTTAGTTAATTAAAAATTCTTTAGTTATTATTAAATATTATTATTTAAATATCAAATTTTTATGGATACTTAAAAAAAAAATTCTATAATAGTTTTCACACAATTCTACAATATTTTTTAGACATTGAACAAAAATTATTTATTAATCATATATCATATTTTAATATATATGTAGTATTTTACCTGTATGTCTGAATCTGATACACCAAAATCAAGATTTGACACCAAAAGTTTGGTTGTTCCTGCATTGCCTATTGCACTACGACCAACCTTTTTTACACCATCAAACATGTCATGTTTCCAAGCACTATTTACATCGCCCTATACAATAAAGTTTGAATTAAGAATCGTTGAACAAAATAATATTTTTTATCTATTAACAATCTTGTTTCTTTTTGTTAATATTCTTCAATTAATTATATGTTTTGCTATCAAAAAGTTTTTTTTTTCATTATGTTATAAGTTGTCAATAAATGTCTCTTAATATAAACTCAAGTATAAACTATATCTCATCTAATTGCAATGATATGCATTTTCTTTATTAACAATTAATAAAATATGTAAACAGAGAAAATTACAATAGGAAAATTACAATATGACTAAAGAGTATAAAAAACAAAAACAACTTATAGAAAATAAAAAAAGACAAATTTAATTTTATCTTAAGGTCAACCGTCTATGCTATGTTTGAAATGTTAGTTACATACAGACAAACACTTTAGCGTTCATAGTGCGTGCGTATGTGTGTGTGTGTGTGTGTGTGTGTGTGTTGTTCAACATACACATACACATATATAAATATACACATTTGATTCTGATGAAGTAGCACGCGGATGTGTGTGCATGCGCGCAACGCACACATACTCAATAAAACAAGTATATAATAATAATAAAATATTCAATGATCGAAAGCTCGATGAGGAGTTTTCTTACCCTCGTGTATGGTAGAGAACTACGTGCGATACCACCACGACTGCGTCCTCGCATGACGCCACCGCCAGCTCTTTGCGTCCTACGTGCTCCTCGACGGGGTGAACTGCCGGCGCCTCTACCGCGTCTACCACCACTACTGCCGCCGCCACCGCCGCCGCCACGCGCCCTAGATCCTTTGGTCTGTTTGATAATATCATCCAGACTCATTTCAATCTTATCCACCATCTTCATTTGTGCGGTTTGCGATGAAACGTAACTACAACGCAAGAGACACTGACGTAAATCAACCTCTTTCTCTCACTGTTACTTTTCGTGATGATGGCGGTAGAACGAAGACGAACCCGAAACAGCGCCGCAGGGCAACCTGGGTATCCTAGGTACTGCTGGGTACTATCAGTCTCGGGTTATAAAAGTGAGTCGAAAGTCACCAGGGAAAAGCGTATGGATAAAAGCAGTTAATAGCATTACTACCGCCTCTTACGATACGATGGGGAACTAATATTTTTTTTAAATTCCACAGACTTAGGTTTGTTCTACAATGTGTTGTGTCGTGGTCGAACTGTAAGAATGGGCCAATCACAATCAAGTATTCTCCCTATATTTGTTTATGATTAGTCAATTCTTGAGCTTGCGGCTTGCAACACCGATATGCGATATATTGTAGACAAGCCTCATAATTGATTTATAAAAAAATAATTGAGTGTGGTTGGCCAATATCTTAAGTCTTATGCCTTAAAATCTTATTGTAGACGCTGCTTTAGCCTGTTCTACAACGCGTCGTGTATCGGTATCGTAGATCTCTTGGGCCAAAACAAACTAAGTCACAACCAGTGATGAAAAATTATCAAACTGAAAAAATAAGGTTAGAATAGATTCCGTTTCTTGAAAAATATGCTCCATGGGAAACCAAAATGCTTAAAATCGAAACGGAAAACTATGAAAATTTTGGAATGATGTTGATTGACTGTCCTCTACCATTTCCGATTCCGTTCCGATTCCGTTCCGATTCCGTTTTCCATGTCCATGGAACGGCACCCTAAGGCTGTTCTATAATGCGTCGTGTCGGTGTCGTGATCGTGAGTCGTAAAAATGGACCAATCAAATGTGGGGAGAATACTTGATTGTGATTGGCTCATTTTTTATCAATTACATGGTAGCGCCTCTAGAAAAAGTTATCGATTATACCTCGCGGTTTCATTATGTCCCAAGTTCTTCTATACTTTTATGAGATGCTAGTGACATATTTTTTAATTTCGATAATTCGATGATGAGCTATCAAACGAACACATGACATATAAGACATGAAAGACTGCAAAAGTTTTTCTGCAAAAGGTTTGAGGATCCAAACTACTTAATTTTTAATATTTTTATTATCTACAAAAGAGAATATACAATTGGTACAAGTGATTGGTCTAAAATGAGCAAAGTTTTTTCACTCACAAATTTCTCCGAAATAAAAAGAGAGCGGAGTCCGATTCTCCCTCTTAAGAAGCCCCTTGTTAGTAATGAGGTCTTGCCAAAATGTCAATGTCTGACAATCTACTTTCGATTAAAACGACAAAAAAACGACAAAAAAACGAAACTGACAATTCAGATTTCACTATTCTGTTTAATTTTGATCACGTGATCTAGTTTGACGCTAAAAATGAGAGTCGAGCGTCAGCATGAGAAGTCAGCCTAACGATGGGCTATTCTTTTATATGAAAGTTCGCTCATTCGCGAATATATATAAATTAATAATTTTTTAATTATTGCGAAAATCATAAAATGGTATAAAACTTTTCTTTCATAT